CAGACTAGAGATACCACTACGTGAATGAATGGGGTGGCGGCAGGAGCAGTCTCAGATGTGTTGGAAGGAAAATGTCTCATGCATTTGAGCAGAGATGGAGTTAAATACTTGATGTCTAGAGGAAAATTGTTCTAGATTCTAAATAAGTAGTCTCAGGAAGGCTAAGGTGGGGGCTGGTTTGAGCAACAGCAAGGGGTCAGTGTCATTGGGTAGGCCAGAGTTGCTTGGGGCCAAGATCACATGGCCTTGTAGTGAGTGGATGGAGAAGGATGCCCTTGGAGGTTTTGCGAGAAGAGCAGCATGATCTGAAGGAGCCCTGTGTTTGCTGGGGTATTGCAAGGACTATAGAGAGACAACAGAGACAAGAGGGAGGCAGGATCTGTCTACAGAGATCCAGGTAGAAGATGGTGGCTGGTTCCGGGAAGCTGTACTGGAAATGAGACATTAGGTAGATAGTGTCAACAGATTTTTTTTAAAAAATGTATTACAGAGTTAGAGACAGGAAGGAAGGAAGGAAGGAAGGAAGGAAGGAAGGAAGGAAGGAAGGAAGGAAGGAAGGAAGGAAGGAAATGAGTTAAGGATGTTTCCAAGGATGTGTGTTTGTTCCAGAGAACTAGAAGACTCTGTCATTTGCTGAAGTGGGAGGGACCAGATTTGTCAAGGGCCATCAGAAGTCTGTTTTTGGACACAGAACACCAGAGGTTTAATGCTGGAATGCCAAGCAGAGAAGTGGTGATAAGAGCTTGGTGTTCACAGCCGGGCAGTGGTGGCACACACCTTTAATCTCAGCACTCTGGAGGCAGAGGCAGGCAGATGTCTGAGTTCGAGGTCAGCATGGTCTACAGAGTGAGTTCCAAGTCAGCCAGGGCTACACAGAGATACCCTGTCTCAACAAAACAAAACAAAACAACAAAAAACAAACAACAACAAGAGTTTGCTGTTCAGAAAACCAAGTGATAGAAACGTCTCAAACTGGGGGGTTCACCCGGCTCTAAAGAAAGGGCTGGGAGCTCCTCAAGAACCCCAGAGCCCACGCGACATTTAAAGCATTCTTTGGACCCTAGAGCACTGCTGCTCTTTCCCTAGATCCGGTCAGCAGTTCATTCAGCAGCAAATTCTTAAGGCACTGTGCTGTACTGGACATGAGGCATTGGCATATCACAGAAATGAGACTGTCCTGTCAATCTTGTAGGCAATGAAGAAGAAAGAGTGGAGAGTTCAGCACAGTGAGGAGGGAATAAGCTGAGGGTGCTAGGACCATGGGAGAGGCACCTCATCTTGTCTGGAGACCAGAGAATGTATCTCAGAGAACATGCTCCCCCAAACCTTCCTGCTTAGGGATGAGTAGGGAGAGCCACGTAGACCAGTGTGTGAGAGCAGCGTTTCAAGCAGAGGACACAGCAGGGGACAGAGGAAGCCATGTGTTCTGGTGAGCCGCTGAGGGTGTCTGGGGTGCAGCATGAATGGGGTGGACAGACACACAGACAGAGGCAGGTGTGTCACCAGGAGCGGCTCTACGGGCAGTACTGGGACTGTATTAGAAAGGCTACAGGCAGCCTCTGGGAAGCTTTAGGTAGAGGAAAGAGGCCAAGGGAAAGGTAGGCTGGAGAAGCCAGGTCTATAAGCAGTAGCTTTAAGAGTCTGAGGAAGGTTTTAGACTTACAGAGAGCCCTAAATATGATAAGTGTGTCTATACAACACTAGGTAGGGGAGGGGAAAAAGAAGGTTGGGTGTGCTTGCCTTAATCTCAGCAGATGGAGGTACAAGGTGCGAGTATTTTAGGAGGGAGTCAGGGTGTGGGAGAAAGGAAGCTGGACAGGCCCCAGGAAGAGCAAGGTCTTTAACATGGAGGAAGCAGCAGGCAGGAGAACAGTACCACAGACCCAAAATGACAGTCTTTCCAAGCATCCTTTGCTTGGCCCGTTGTGTGTGGTGTGTATTCAGGACCGGCGCCTGGCTTCCGAGGGAAGGTGCTTTAGTGTTTGGGCTAAGTGTTTGCGAGGGGATCGTCTGAGTCGGGGCTAACCATGGAACTCTGGGATGTACACCATACTGCCTGCAGTTAAAAGGGATTTGCATTTAACAGATGCTGGGAGAGAACATATGTCCTTGAACAGCCTGTGATCCCAAGAAGAGATTTCAACCAGAACAAGCTATGGGCTGTGTTCACGTTCAGAGAGTATGGGCTCGCTTTGTACACAGTTGGAGCATATGTTTTGTCAACAGAATGAGCATTTCAGTTTTATCAAAACTCAGTCATTTTAGGAAGCATATGTTTGGTTAAAAGTTTGAATGAGATAGTTTAGGAAAAATAAATTCATCCGGGGTGGTGGCGTGCGCCTTTAATACGAGCACTTGGGAGGCAGAGGCTGGTGGATCTCTGTAAGTTCGAGGCTAGCCTGGTCTACAGAGCAAGTTCCAGGACAGGCTCCAAAAGTTACACAGAGAAAACCTATTTCGGAAAACAAAAACAACAAAAACAAAATAACTAAATAAATGAAAAAGAAAGAAAAATAAATTAAAATAAATTCAAGCTGGGGATTTGGATGACAGCTAGAATGCTTGCCTAGTAGGCACAAAGCCCTGGGTTCAATCTCCAGTATTGCAAATTAAATGAGTAAGTAAATAGCCAGTAATGGCGGTATATACTTTATATATCCCAGCACTGAGAACGCAGAGGCAGGTGGATTTCTGTGAGTTCAAGGCCAGCCAGGGCTATACAGAGAGACTCTGTCTTTTTTTGATTTTCGAGACAGGGTTTCTCTGTAGCTTTTGAAGCCTTGTAGACCAGGCTGGCCTCGAACTCACAGAGTTCCTCCTGCCTCTGCCTCCCGAGTGCTGAGATTAAAGGTGTGCGCCACCACCATCACCGGCCACTCTCATCCTTTTAGGAGGCCTAGCAGTCTGGATCCTGTGGTGCAGCTCCTATTCTGGCTAGAGTCCTACTCTGTGCGTGAAACTTTCATTTAGCTCAACAAGCATTTCTGGAGCCCTGGGTTTTACTATGAAGGTTCATTTCCCTTTCCACTCAGACACCTTAGTCCCTGGACTGCAATTAACACTTAATTATAGTTCTTTTCTTCTCTCTCTCTCTCTCTCTCTCTCTCTCTCTCTCTCTCTCTCTCTGTATTGCTCCTCAATTGTTAGTGAACAGCAGTCTCCCAAGGAGGCCGAGTGTTCCTTGGGGCAGGGACTATATTGCAAACTTCAGGTTGATCAAGAAAGGCACGAGAGGGTGACTGACTATCCAGAAGCGTTTGAGGACAACGGGAAACAAGAACAGAAGACCATGCATCGGCTGTATGTTCCTTTCCTAATAAAATATACAATTGCAATGTACATTTTCATGCTAAGGGAAGGCTTTGTGTATTCAAGTCATTGATGTGAATCCCTACAATGCTTTGTTCTTCTTAATTCGAAACAGAACTCTTTCCCGGGGTTGAGGATTAAAGGGAGCAGCAGTCTTGGGTGAGTCACACCCTAGCAGGATCACCCTGGAGCAGGCATTACGGGGCATTTCAGACTAGTCACTAAGAATTAGCTTGTACCCAGCAGGGTATTGGTGGCATCCATGACCTTCAGCAGCTTAGATGCTAGCAGGAAACAGCCCTCACCTAACATCAATGACAAATGTCTCCAGATATTATTAAGTGTTCCTGGGGACAAAATCGCCCCTAATTGTGAACCATGTCCCATAGGAATTTTGATTCCAGTTGGATAATATTATTTCAACAAGCAGTTGGAGGCAGGGGGACGTTCCATTTTTTAAAAAATTAATTATTTATTGTGTGTGTGCAGGTCTAAGGATAACTTGCAGGAGTTTCTCCTGCCACCTTGTGCATCCTGGGCTCTGACTTGGGACATGAGGTTTGACCAAAAGCACTGTTATCCACCGAGCTGTCCCGCCAGTCCTCATGATACACTTTTTTCTTTTTCTTTCTTTTTTTGCTGTGACTCAGGCACTATCTCTAGTTACTTTGCTTTATCGTATAGATCAAGAAGCTGATGTTCAGAGTTGAAGCTGCTGAAGATGCCGGTGCTAGTTCAGCGCTTGAAACAGGATCACACATGACTCCCCAAACTTTAGCAACAAACACTCCACTGCCTCCTAGAAAGGCAGCAAGTTCCAAACTGGAGGCGAACAGCAACTTCAAAATATTTTAAAACTTTCTTTTTTGAGAAGGGAGGGGACTATTACTCTTTTACTCATTAGTTTGATTGTAAACACACACACATATATTATATATACACGCGTGCTCACACACTCATGCACACGTACGCACGCCCCTCTCCACCGTCCTTGGCCTTATCTAGGAAAAACACAGAACTACACAATGGAACAGCTTCGATTCTCCCTGTTACAAATTATCCCAAAGCCAGAGCCTAACGGTGCCAAAAAGCAACCGGTATTGTTTACACAAGGGTTGAAGGCTAATAGTTAACTTTCTCCCATTTAATTCTAGAAACAGCAAACACCGCCTGGCGTTACAACCACAAACGAATAAATGTCATAAAACCGGGGATGAAAACTCTTGGTCTAAAGCAAAATGGAAAGGTTGGGTTTTCAAGCGCTTCCGCCCTCGCGCGCCGCCCCCGGCTACCCGGCCTCGGGTCCCTGTCGCCCTCGTCAAACTCCTGTCCCTGGCGCCCAGAGCTTCTGGCTTCATTTCCCGCCCTGGGGCGCGCTGGAAAAACAACAGCCAGAAACTTTGGCTGGCTTTGCAGTTCAGTGAGGGGGAAAAAAAAAAGCCAAAAAAAAAAAAAAAAAAAAAAAGAAGGGGGGTGGGAAAGCAGATACTTTAGTTCGGTTCCGGACCGAGCTGAACGTTCCGATTTAGGGGTGGGGGCTGGGGGGGTTACAACTCGGTCAGGTTCAAATGCGCACGTGTGAGAGGAGTCGCTCCAGCATTTATTGAGCGCCCACTGTGTACCGCCAGCCGGGGGAGTGTGGAGCGCGCGCGCGCGCGGCCAGGGCTGGGGGCGCGCGGGCCGTGCGCGCGCGTGGCCGGGGGTGTGTCCCCGCGTCTTGCTGGCTGGCTTGCGGGCGGACTGGCTGCGAGCGGCTTGGTGCGCTCCCTTCCCGGGCGGGGGAATCCGGGCCGGGTTGTGGCCGCGGCCGCGTACGTGAGCGCTGTGTCCCGGAGAGGGAGGGCAGGCCGGCCAGGTGGGCGCGAAGGCGGCGGCGGCGGGAGGCGGCGCAGTGCAGGGGCCGCGCCGGTGGCGGGCAGGGCCGCGGCCGCTGCAGGGAGCCGAGCTGTCCGGGCCAGTGGCCGACCGAGGTGAGCTGCGCGCGGGACCTCACTGGGGCTGCTACCCGGGATTGGGGACGGCATCGGGCGGGGGGCCCAGGAGGCTCGCGCGGCCCGGGCGGGACCGGGGCTGCTGCGGCGGTGGCGGGGTGGCCGGGTGGGGGTGGCCGCTCGCTTTCTCGCGCGTCGCCTTGTTTATGTCGCGGATTCTACCGCTGGATCTCCCTTCCAACTTTGAGCAGTGACCGGGAGTGGCCTGGCGGGCCCATACTGACCTGTTAACCTGCCCCCTTTCCGGCTGGGCCGTCAGCCCGGCGCTCCGCACGCCCCTGCCCTCTCCAAATCCAGAGAGCGCGGTGCTGCAGCACTGGCCTCGCGACACACCCTCTCTCAACCCCCTTCTTGCGGGCCCTCTTCGCCTCCCCCTTGGCTCTAATCTTGCCGGCTTCACCCCGGGTCCCTCCTTGGCCGTGGCACTGTGGGCCTCTGGAGTGGCCCATGGGGACCTAGAGAGGGAGTTTGTCATGGGCAGACAATTCCGAGGCAGGGTTCCTTTCCTGCCTGGGAGTTAAGGCTCTGCGCCTTCACTTTAGGGCCTACTTGGAGGTCTAAAGAGACCCACCTGCCAGCAATCCTGCGCGAGCCCTGTTTTCCATCTCTCCGCTTCCTGTGGTTCTGGAGGACTTCCACCAGGCAATGGGTTCCCATGATGCCAGGCCATGGCACAGGGGCTATCTACAGCCCTTCACTGCTTTCTTGACTCTCCCTTACCAGAAGGGTGTAAAGTGGGACTGTTGGTTTCAGAGTGGGCAATCAACAGGTACTGTAGCCTGGGGACACTCTCCTAAGGGGCTGTGTAAACAGAGGTTCTTCTTGCTTTGGAAGAGCGAAACAGAAGGAAATTGGTTAACCCGCAGGTACCTCTGAGAACCTCCTCTGTTCTTTTCTCACTGCCAAGCTTGCTGGGTGATGCTTAGAGGCACGTGAAAAGTCGAAGGTCTCAGGAAGCTGCAAGACTTAAGAGCTCAAGTTTAAATTAAGGTGCCATGACTGCAAAGTTAGTGTAAACTCTGGGGCACGGGAAGCATGACAGTTAAAGGTGGGAAGGGCGCTTGGCACTCATTTTGAAACAGTTTCCACCTGTAGACAATTCCCTGGCAAGACTCAAAAGTCAGAAGGAAGAGTTCACTGGTTGGCAAACTTGCCAAAGAATGCCCAGTGGCTTGGTTGTCTCAGCAAGAAAGGCTGCAGAGGACACATAAATATTTCCGTGCAGGGGTTATAATCTCTTGGAGGACACAGGAAGACTTGAGCATGTAAAATAAGAATCCAGATGGGGCACAGTTAGTTGTCAAAGCGCCAGGTGCAGAAGTGGGTGCTGTTGGAGGTCAAGGGAGGGAGCTCTGGACAAGGGATTGACAGACCTGTGCCATGTCCTTGCAAGATGAGACTCTGTGGAGGTGGGAGGCAAAGTGTGTGTGTGTGTGTGGGGGGGGATGAATCTGGGTTTCTCCGGAGACCAGGAGATGGCCTTGGCTCTCTTGAATGTTTCCTGAACAGTGAAAGATAAAGAGAGAGAGGAACAATGACTGAGATTGTGAAAGTCCTAGAAAGTCAGACTAAGGAATTAGAACTTTATCCTGGGTGTACCAGGGAGACATTAGGCCAGGGAGTGATGTAACAAGGATTATTTGTAAAGATTTTGTTGAATCTGATGTTAGAAGGCCGACCAGTAAGTCGCCTGTCACGCTTTTGGGGGGCTGTGGGTTTGGACTTGGTTTTACTGGAAGACTTTACTGTTGAAATAATCTGTTGACAGGGCCAGGGTGGAGAGAAGACACAAGTAGGAACTCATTCCTGGTGGAAGCTGGTTGGGCCTTGGAGTTGCCGTCGTTGGTGATCTGAATCGGAAATGTGTGTTTTGTGGAGAAGTAATTGGCACTTGGGCTCTTGAGAAGTCCTGTGTTTGCCAGGTTATCCCGGATGTAGGGATGTAGGTGCTAGCTTGCCACTGTGGCTCTGAAGAACCCTGGAGGGTAGGGTAGAGGGGAACTCTTGGTCATAGGCGCAACAGAGAATTTACGTGGGACTGAGGGTCTGACCCTCAGGCTTCTGTTTTGCCCTCCTTTCTCTTCTCATTGCCTGGATTTGACCCTGAAGGTGGAGGAGCAAGGCTGGGGAGTGGGCTTCTAGGAAAATGGGGCCATTTTTTTTTTTTTTACAACCATGAGGGTGGAGTTAAGAGGTTGGAGGGAAGTGGAGTGGGCTTTGCTAAAGGAGTAAGTTATTAGGCTTTGATTTGCTGAACTTTACACTTTACAGAGACACTGAGGTAAGTCTCCCTCCTGCGCTGTTTGTGCAGGGGGAGGGATGGACAGCAAGACAAGCTAAAGGAAGATAGAGGAATGTGGGGCCTGTTGTAGAGCCTGGCTTTTCCCAGTCTCATCCAGTTCCCCTTCCCAGGATTCTGGTGCCGAGGATGAGTAGCAGGGAGCTGGCATTTTTTTTTTTTTCTTCTGAGCTCTAAGGTCTTTCTTTTTGCAAGAGCAGCTCAGGGTGATTTGCAGAATGAATTCCCCAAGCCTCAACTTGCAACATCTGAGTTTGAAGGATGATTGCAAAAGGTCGTGGAGTGAGCTGAGACGGTCATTTCAGTTGCTTATTTCTCTGAGATTCAGGAGCAGAGAACTGAGGGGAAGAGGGCCTTGAGGGATAGGGACAGAGGCCGTTAGGATCAAGTTCTTTCTTTCCTTCCCCGGCCCCTCCTTTTTCTTCTTCCCTTCCTCTTCCTCTCTCTTTTTGCCTTTTCTCCGCCCCTCATCCTTCTCTCCAATTCTTCTTACTCTGTGTAAGTCAGGAGCCTTTGAACTCACTGCAATCCTCCTGCTGTGGCAGGCCTGATCTTTGACAGATATTTTTTTTCCTTATAGTGACTGTCAGAGCGATCATGCAGAGCAAACAGAGGGTTGAGTTCTTTGGTTCATCATAGAATATAATGGCCTACATAATGACCTATATTAAGAAATAAAGTTGAAGTCGGTCAGTGGTGGCACACGCCTTTAATCCCAGCACTCAGGAGGCAGAGGCAGGTGGATCTCTGTGAGTTCTAGGACAGACTCCAAAGCTACAAAAGAACCCTGTCTTGAAAAACAAAATGAAACAAAACAAAACAAAAAATCCCAAATAACAACAAAAGAAGTTGAATGCTGACACTTGGTGGGTAAGGATGCTTGCCACGAAGCCTGGTGACCTGATTCCCAGAATTTACGTGCTGGAAGGAGAGAACCGTGAACTGCAAGTGTCTCTCTCAGTGTAAAATAAGGAAGAAACGTCTGTCCGTCCGTCCGTCCGTCCGTCCTTCCTTCCATCCATCCATCCATCTATCTATCTATCTATCTATCTATCTATCTATCTATCTCATGATTTTATATACCTAATCATGTATGTAAAAACTGAATCTCATTGTGTGAAGTTTGTCTCTTTTCTAGGTGCAACCTTGTTTGTTTTTTTTTTTTATTGTCTATCCTGTTACTTTTTTACTAAAAAAAACTGCTCTTTTTCCTACCGAGTTGATCCGTCCGCTCTCTAGCGGATCATAACCCAGTCACAGTTTGAAATGCCCTAGGAGACTCCCACATTCCTCAAGTATTACTGCCGAAGCTGCCTGCGTGCAGCGCTGCACCCCCCAGGGCTGAAGGTAGCTGCCAGCCCAACAAAGAGGTGGGGGTTTATGGTCTCGTTGGAGAGCTGAGATATACCTTGGAGAAGAGACAAGGCAGCCTGCTAAATGCCAAGATGAGAAATTAATACCCGGAAGAACTGGAGAAGTGGACAGAGGAGGGAGGACAGCACAGTGGTGTGTGCTGATGGGGCTGGGAAGAACTCTGGAATAACCAAGTCTGGGAGGAAGTTTGGGGCATCTAAGTGCTGCATGAGTGGGGGGCTGGGGCTCGGAATGTACACTGGGGTTGTGTGTGAGAGGGAACAGAAGGTTTTTGGGAAAGAGGACTGGAAAGGTGGTTTAGGACATGTGTAGTACAGGGCCTATGCATGTGTGGCAGGTTAGAGCACATCAAAGTTCCAAAGGGTTTTTTCTTTCTTTTTTTTTTTTTTTTTTTGATTTAGAGTTTTAGACAGGATCTCACTGTATAGCCCTGGCTAGCCTATAGACCAGGCTCAACTCCAACTCAGAGATAGGCCTGCCTCTGTCTCCAGAGTGCTCGGGCTAAAGGTATGCATCACCATGCCCGAACACCACAGTTTTTAGAAAAGAAATTGGGAGCAGTCCAGAAAAACTTCCGAATTTGGGCCTTTGAGGAGTCAAACCTGGCTGCCTCCTCAATTTGAGGAATGGCTGTCCGCTGAGTACAAAATAAAGATATTAGAGTCCCCAGTTGTGGCCTCAGTGTTCCCTGGTGCTCCGGAGCAGTCACGGCATCTTTGCAGAGGCCTGTGGACATTGGGCTTTGGAACCCAGGGGTCTGTGTCGTAGGCTCTGACTGGCCACCGGAAGGGTCTCTTAAGAGTTGTCACATGAAATCTGGGATATTTGTGTGTAGTGAGTTTGTGTTATGCAAGTCAGAGGCTGCTCCTAAGGAAGATGGAGCCTGGAAATATTTTTATGTAATCAGAATTTTGTTTCTCAATTTATTTTTTAAGTGTTGAGTGTTTTGTATGTATGTATGTGTGTACGCAACATATGTGTAGGCCACAAGGTGTCAGATCCCCTAGCGGAGAGTTGGACTGTGAATCTAAAGCCTGGGTCCTCTGCAAGAGCAACAAGTGTTCTTCCCTGAGCCATCTCTCCAGTCCTAGAATAGTATATTCTTTCTCTTCTCTGCCTCTTGTTTTTCGAGACAGGGTTTCTCTGTGTAACCCTGGCTGTCCTCTGGAACTTGCTCCGTAGACCAGACTGGCTTTGAACTCATAGAGATCCACCTGCCGCTTCCTCCCGAGTGCTGAGATTAAAGGTGTGTGTCACCACCGCCTGGTTAGAATGGCATTCTTTTAAACAAGCTTCTGCTGGTTAA